GAAAGAGAGAAGAAGGAGGAATATAGAAAGGGAGGTAGAGGAAGAGATAGGGAAAAAAGGAAGAGAAGGGAAAAAGAGGAAGAAAAAAAGAGATTGAAATGGAGAGAAAGGAAGAAAAAAAATAAGGAGATGCATGGAGAGAAAAGGTGATGTAGAGAGAGAAAGGGATAAAATAGAGAGAGAAAGCGGAAGAAAAGAAGAAAACTGAATTGAAATGGAGAGATAAAAAAGGGAGAAAATGGAGATGAAGATGGAGAAATGGAGAGAAAGGGAAAGAAATGAGGAAAAGGGAAAATGGAAGAAGGGTTGAAATGGAGGTAGAGAGAAAAAAAAAGAGAAACGGGAGATGTAGAGGGCAAATGTTAAGAAAGGGAGATACAGGGAGAGATAACAAAAGAAAAGGAGAAATTAGATTAATATGGAGAGATAGCGAGAGAAAGGGAGATATAAGATGTATAGAGAAAAAAGGAGACATAGGGAGAGAAAGAGGGAAGAAAATGAGAAAAGAGAAAAGAGAATTGGAAGAAAGAAATCAAAAGAAATGCGAAAAAGGGAACTGGGAATAAAAACATAATCGAATTCTTGAATGGAAGGGAAGAATCAGCAGGAATACCAAATAAGGAGATGAAGAGAAAGATAAAAGTAACCCAAGAACAGATAGCAAAATTAGGCCTATTGGGTCGAACTTCAGGCTTCTCGTCTTTGCCACGAAAGGTCACGGAGAGGTCAAGGTGATACGAGAGGTCAGATCAGCAATAGAGAGAATCTTTATTGGTAATCAAAGTCATAATTAAGAATGGTATGTAATGATATGTTATTATATATAAAGGTGGACAAAGAAATGAAGAGATGAAGCAAATAATAAACAAAATGGAAAAGAGAGAAAGGTAGAGATGAGGAAGAAAGAAGGGAGAAGAAAAAGGAAGAAGAGGAGAAGGGAAAGAAACATTTACATATAAACAAACGATCAATAAATTGTTAGAGCAAAAGAAAAAGGAAAATGAGAGAGAGGAAGAGATGGAAAAAAAAGAGGAGGAATGAAAGGATTATCTTTTTTAACGAATAGAATGAAGAGAAGGAAAAAAAAAGAAAAACATATTTATAAGGAGCAGGGGAAAATGAAAGAAAAACAGGTTAATGGAGAACAGAAAGACATACACAAAAAAACACAACAGAAGATAAGCAAAATAATGCAAAAAAACGGACTCAGCAGATAACAAGAAAACTATCGGTCAATTTCAGTAAAAACCCAAGAACCGAAGATCCACACGAAGCCCCGCTATCGCCTCGAGATAAGACAGCCGCTTCAACGGAGATAAGGGAGCCAAAAACACCCGGAGAAGCGCGTCCGTTTTCCGAATGAAGCGCCGGTATTTGGGGGCATAAGTGGGAGAAGAGGGTTTGTTTTTATCCGCGCCGGTATTGGTAAGTTTTTGTCTTTATCCGGAGTGAAGCGCCGGTATTGGGGGCATAAGTGGGAGAAGAGGGTTTGTCTTTATCCGGAGTGAAGCGCCGGTATTGGGGGCATAAGTGGGAGAAGAGGGTTTGTCTTTATCCGGAGTGAAGCGCCGGTATTGGGGGGCATAAGTGGGAGAAGAGGGTTTGTCTTTATCCGGAGTGAAGCGCCGGTATTGGGGGCATAAGTGGGAGAAGAGGGTTTGTCTTTATCCGGAGTAAGCGCCGGTATTGGGGCATAAGTGGGAGAAGAGGGCATTGTGGTCTTTATTTTGTCTTTATCCGGAGTGAAGCGCCGGTATTGGGGGCATAAGTGGGAGAAGAGGGCATGTCGTCTTTATCCGGAGAAAAGGCCACGTCGTCTTCATCCGGAGAAGAGGGCACGTCGTCTTTATCCGGAGAAGAGGGTTTGTCTTTATCCGGAGAAGAGGGTTTGTCTTTATCCGGAGAAGAGGGCGCGTCGTCTTATCTTCGATCCGGAGAGAGTCAATCCGGCGCCACGTCGGTCCGTCACGTCGTCTTTATCCGGAGAAGAACGTCTTTATCCGGAGAAGAGTCACGTCGTCTTATCCGGAGAAGAGGGCACGTCGTCTTTATCCGGAGAAGGGCAGGTCTTTATCCGGAGAAGAGGTCACGTCGTCTTTATCCGTCTCTTATCGGAGAAGAGGGACGTCGTCTTTATCCGGAGCGCGCTCGTTTTATCCGGAGAAGAGGGCACGTCGTCTTTATCCGGAGAAGAGGCCACGTCGTCTTTATCCGGAGAAGAGGGCGCGTCGTCTTTATCCGGAGAAGAGGCACGTCGTCTTATCCGGAGAAGAGCGTGTCGTCATCCGGAGAAGAGGGCGCGTTCGTCTTTATCCGGAGAAGAGGCGCGTCGTCTTTTATTTCGTCTTTATCCGGAGAAGAGGGCCACGTCGTCTTTATCCGGAGAAAGGGCGCGTCGTCTTTTTCCGGAGAAGAGGCACGTCGTCTTATCCGGAGAAGAGGGCGCGTCGTCTTTATCGGAGAAGAGGCCATCCGGAGAAGAGGGCGCGTCGTCTTTTCT